ATCCCTCTCAATGTAAATGCAGAAAAAATGTTCATGTTCCAATGAATTTTGGAATAACATAAAATGCCATTGTATTAAAGGTATTTTGTGATTACTCCCAATTGTACATAATTTCTATACTTTTGGAAAATTACTCTACATACAAATATCATGAAAATTACTTGTATCTGGTATTTTCTCTAATTTACAAAGAATTTCTGGAAATACAGCCTACATGAATCTAGTATTCTACTTGTCTTTCATGAAATTCAACCGTATCTTGTTATTAGTCTGCAAGTAAATTCATGAAATTTAACTGTATCTTCTTATTATTCTAAAAGTAAATTCATGAAATTTAACTGTATCTTGTTATTATTCTAAAAGTAAATTCATGAAATTTAACTGTATCTTGTAGTTATTCTAAAAGTAAAATCATGAAATTTAACTGTATCTTGTAGTTATTCTACAAGTAAATTCATGAAATTCAACTGTATCTTGTAGTTATTCTACAAGTAAATTCATGAAATTTAACTGTATCTTGTAGTTATTCTACAAGTAAATTCATGAAATTTAACTGTATCTTGTAGTTATTCTAAAAGTAAATTCATGAAATTTAACTGTATCTTGTAGTTATTCTAAAAGTAAAATCATGAAATTTAACTGTATCTTGTAGTTATTCTACAAGTAAATTCATGAAATTCAACTGTATCTTGTAGTTATTCTACAAGTAAATTCATGAAATTTAACTGTATCTTGTAGTTATTCTACAAGTAAATTCATGAAATTTAACTGTATCTTGTAGTTATTCTAAAAGTAAAATCATGAAATTTAACTGTATCTTGTAGTTATTCTACAAGTAAATTCATGAAATTCAACTGTATCTTGTAGTTATTCTACAAGTAAATTCATGAAATTTAACTGTATCTTGTAGTTATTCTACAAGTAAATTCATGAAATTTAACTGTATCTTGTAGTTATTCTACAAGTAAATTCATGAAATTTAACTGTATCTTGTAGTTATTCTACAAGTAAAATCATGAAATTCAGTTGTTTTTAGGTATTACTCCTTCAGGTAATTTCATGAAACAGTAAATGTATGAGAAACATTCTATGTGGCATGCTTTGCCCAATAATTTATTTTTTTCAGCTGACAAGCTATAAAACTAACATGACTAATCCAATCGCAAAAAATACATGATAATGGTCAAGAAAAAATGCAAATAAAGTTGTATATCCAACTCTCTATCAAAAATGCCTTTTTAAAATGTAAATTAAATGCTATTTTTATACTTTCAAATGCCACTCTAGAGAAAGAATGAATGCCAATATCAATCACAAGTAAATGAATTAATTTACATTTGCAATACCCATGCTACATTATATCATACAATCTACAATTTAAATTACAATCTACAATTCAAGTTATAATCTACAATTAAGCTTGCAATCAAGATAATAACCATTTAATATTTTATTTATTAATTTGCTTTAATTATTTTCATATCTGAATTTGTATTTAAATTAAAATTATGAATCTTGTTATTTATTGCACAGAATATAAGAATCAGAGACTAGAACTTCAACTTTTTTAAAAATGGATATGTATCAATTTTGTTACATGTATTTTTAAAATTTCATGCAGTCAAGCGTATATTTCATCCGATCAAGAATTTTTACGCCAGATCACAAAGGGGCACACATAGCAAATAATTTAGAGTGTAAAATAACTCCGTGGATTTTTACCTTCGATCAATTGATTGGCGGTGGCAGCCATTCTGAACGTCACATGAAATCAACATCAAGTCTGATTGGTTAAGAAATATCGCTCGCCCAACAAGCAAACTTCTTCGAGCAATTTCCAATCAGGCGAAAAAATATATTTGTGTGCACCCACCACAATAGCCATGTACTTTAACAGTCTTCAAATCTTTTTGAATCATTCCAGTAAATTATGAGCAATATTTAATAACTGGCAGTGAATTGTAAAATTACATGCATCTCAAAGAAATTTTTACCATAACTATTTTACTATTTACAATTTTGGGACTTACAGTGGAATGAATTCAAGAATAATACCCGATGGATTAGAGTGTACCTTTGTTCATCTAATATGGTTTCATATAAAAATCAGATCATGCAAAAATAAATCTATAAAAATTAAGACAAAATTAAACAAAAACAAATACTACTCTGAAAATTGGTCGACTTTTGTTAAAGTTATTTTTTTCCATTCAATATTAGTCAATATATATCTTAGTTTTGATTTTAACGATTTTAGGTTTTTTTACAATTTTTCTGCCATCACTTTATAGGTCAGTTTTCAACAATCTATACAAAAACTAGTAATCATATCACTTCAAGAGCCACATTAATCTAACAGACATGAAATGAATGAAAAAATGACATATATACGAAATCACACAACTCTCTTGAACTATTTGTTCTAATGACCTACACATTTACAGCTAAATTAACAATTAAACAAACAATTAAGGTGGAATACTAAGTTTGAGAGAAAGGTATCAATCCAAATGCATCAATTAGTCAAGTTGCTGACACATCAAAATTGTAACATTATTGGAGTACCCTAGAGGCTTTGTGCAGATTTGCATAAAATTTCTAATTTTGGCATTTTTTTTTTCCTCATAGAGTCTGCCATAGGAAATGAATTATTCTTTTAGATGCTACTATTTTGAGAGTAAATTTTGATGAAGTCCACACTATGAAAATACCAATCATTCAAACTAAATCATGTTTAAACAAATAACTTCAGAATTGGCAGATGGCATAAGCCTGTTGAATACTTGAATAAAAGTGAATGGCAATACTGCAGTACCATTGTGTAAGCTTAGAAATAATACAACTATATGAGATCATTTAACATAAAATTTCTATATTTCACTATGTTGTGGTCTTCAATTTTTACCGTAAAACTAAATTTTGTCTACTCCAAAGCATGTTTTTATCTTACAAAAAATTTGCTCTAAATGATTTTTGTTTATTTGCTTGATGAGTGGACTAAAATCTTTTCGAAACCAAGTTTGATTAACCAATTAGATTATTTCTCTCAATTTCTGTAATTTGTGTACTTTTTGATTAGTCAATTTTCTTGTAATCAATTGTGATCGATATAAAGTTAGGACAAAATCCACAACAATACACGCCAACGTGAAGCCACTGTGGGAAATAAAATGGCTATGACACTGTTAGGACACTTTGTCTAGTATCCTAGTGATATCTGAAGTCATTTCTATGAATAATCACATGTTCCATTATTGTGAGCCATTAGTGAGTAGCACCTGTGTATTTGGTTTAAGGTCCCCATTAACTGCTGGACTGTCCCCTGTGACTGGTGAGGCTTCTTTCGAGGTTTTTAACTGTTCTCCATTATTTTCACTATCACTACTAGTATTGCTTTCAGAAGCACCATTTTGATTTCCTTCTGTTGGACTCTCCGTTTTATCTGTTGTCTTTGCTTTTTGTTTGTTCATTTCTCTCTTCAGCCTCTCTAAATCACTGACAAAACAAAAATTAACATTAACTTTGATAAGGGATCTGAATTTGCAGCTATTTTTATGGATAAGTTTCAAAATGGCTGGGAGCATCTATCTATTGTTTTATTTCTACCAAAACTTTCACCTTGTGTGATGAATCAACTGTAAAATATTTAAATTCACATAAAACTTCCACCAATAAAAAAGAAAGGGGCAAGTAAACAAGTAAAGTGTAACCCACCTAGAAAAGACATACCCACGTAATGACAATCTTAGACCTTATTACATGGGTATGCCTCATTTAAATAATATAATGTAAACTAACCTGAGTTGTACAAAGACAATACCATTTATAACATTTAACGTATCTAATACACTAGATAGGGATGGCGTCTGAATCTATACAAACAGGGAAAAAATAATAGTTCAATCTATATTAAAATATATATTAATATGCTCTTTTTTTCAAATGCAGTTCATATGTTTACAAGCAAAATCATTGCTTACTGAAATAATCCCTTTCAACCTTTAGCCTGCCGCAGACGAGAGGAACTAGCTGAGCTGCCTGCCTTAAGAGGTTGGGAGCTGAGGAACTAGCTGAGCTGCCTGCCTCAAGAGGTTGGGAGCTGAGGAACTAGTTGAGCTGCCTGCCTCAAGAGCTCCAGTGATAGCTTTCGTCTGCGGTAATGAGAATGTTGCTCAGCAGTTCCTCTCGTCTGCGGCAGGCTTTAGTGGCTGGCCCAATGATGAAGGAATATATACCTGACAACCGTTACCATGTATTGTCACAAAACAAATTCCCTTTCAAGTTATATTACTTGGAGTTCAGGGCATATTTCATTTACACTCTGTTCAAAGGGTTAACTATAATTTCAAGCTCAATATATAACACTTTTGGAATACAATTAGATCAGTATATTTCAGATCTACAATTATTCTATGTAACTAACCTGTATAGGAGGGAATGTCATATTTTTTTCTCCCTGACAATATTCATTGATTTTTTTCTGGAAGACTACAGCTTGTTGTGTTAAATGTTTTAAACATTCAGAACTTTCTTTAGTTCTCTCATGATCATCACCAAGCTAGAAAAGTAAACAGATAGATATTCAAGTAAGCATTTTCAAATATCATCCAATTTTGTATCCGATGGAAATTAAATGAAAAGAATGGAGTTTTACTTCCTACTCTTCTGCACCTTATTGGGCTAATGAAGACAGGCAACACCATGAAGTGTGCAATGAGGGAAATTTTGCTATGACAGTAGCTTTAGCCCACTCTTTTTAGATTTCAAACTGTCGAGGGGTCTTTAACATGCACAGCCTGTAGCAAATGGGGCCTCGTTTTATTGTCCAATCCTACTGATTAGAAGCTTTTTCCATGACAGATCCTCTGATCTGCATCACTGGCAAGTTGGAAAAAAACCCCAAAAAACAGGTTGAATGTTGCCTTCACAGTTCCATGGCCATTTCACACTTCATTGAAATCCACACAGCCATAATAGAAGCAAGATAGCCTACCACTTGTACAAAACAAGGCCATGAAGAACAATTAAATAGTAATTTCAACTTTCATGGTCACACTCAATAATTCTTATACTTACAGATTGTTTATAAATAGAGAAAGCTTCCTTTTCACTCTGGAGAGCAGCACGGAAATTGCCCTGACAAGAATAGGTTCTAGCTAATAGATGATAACTCATAGCAGCCTTTAAACTTTTAACACCATAATATCTACAGAATATAAATTAACATTTTAATTTACACATTAACAAAATATTTTCACTGTTAACTAGTGTTCAATACATCAATTGTAGAGAATATTTTAATCATTGTATTTTCTGATTTTCTCACAGAAGGTGCCGACATTCAAGATACAAAATCAATCATCAGGGCACCTTTGCTTTGGAACTGGCTTTAAAATTCCAATATGTAAGCTTGGACTAGACACTACAGAATAAAGAACTTAATTTCATTCAAATTGTAAGAATCTTTGAGCATACATTTCTTTGAACAATTGAGAATTCTTCGTAGTAAAAGAAATGTTACTAAGAAAATAAAATAAATCATACTACTGTACCTTAGGTTAAGTTTTAAGGCATTCTCTAAGAACCTCAATGATAATTCATATTCTTCTAATGCATGTAAAATCAACCCAATATTACTCTGTAATAAAAGATGATCATATATCCTACACCAACATTTTTGTTGTAGACACAGATAGCCAGTTCCCCAATATTAATCAATAATGCTGCTGACATATTTAAAATATAAAAGCCTCACAAAGTCTGCTGGTTTAGAAACTTAAATAGAATTTGCAATTGAAAAACTTCAATAACAAAACGTTTCATAATATTTGTTAACAAATATATGTATATTGAATAAACAGAATATATTTCTATGTATCAAAAAGGACATCATTATTAGTTGCTTGGAAAGATAAATACTAATATATAAGATAAAATAAGGTATTCTTACATCTATTAAAGCAACTTCTGGATGATTTTCACCATGACATAATAAAGCTAAATATCTGGCTCTATACATTAATCTTAATGCATTAGAGATATGATTATTAGCAAAACTATACAAGGCAAGATGAGCCTGAAAAAATAATAGAAATAACCATCATTTAATTTGTAATCTAGAACATAAAAATTTAATTATTCACTGATGATATCAAATTATCTCTTATCTCCTACAAGATCTGTCTATATGGCAAAAAAAATAATTAAGTTTATTAAAGCTTGTTTATTTCCCTATTTCAAGTCCAATTTCTGTTTCCTTGTTTGGAGGCCATTTTGAAATTTGAAGTTAGCTTTGACATCATTAAGACTTACATATTCAGTAACAGTTATGGGATGATCAATACCATGTACTCTTTCACTCATCATTACAGCTTTCTGTTGATATGACAGTGCCTATAATAATATAATATACAATATACAGATCACGGACAGGAAGCAAGCAGTTCTAATCTTTAATGATTTAGACAATAGATTCTTATGAAATGAATGGTCTTGGTATATTAATATAAAAATCATTTCCTCATGACCAGAAACAAAGGATGTGTCTACAAATACTGATGTTGAGATGATACCTTCGGATTTTTCAACTTGGTTTACCCTTGTCAGTGATGCAGGTAAGAGGGGCTGACATGGAAAAAGCGTCTAGTCGTTCGGATGGGACAATAAACCGAGGCCCTGTGCACTATAGGCTGTGCACGTTAAAGGTAATATTCCTTTAATGACAAGAATATATCGTTGATATATATATACCTACCTCACTATAATCACCCATTATATAATTCAGTCTAGCTAGTAGACGAAGACAGGCTGATATTTCAGGATGTAAAGCTATATAGACATTATTTAATAAATTCCAAGCTTCTGTTATCAACTCATATCCTTCCCGTAATAAACCTTGTTGTATTTTATTCTGACCACTGGTGAAGAAATGATAAGCATCTGAAGCCTGCAAAGATTTCAAAATACATTAGTTTACGTCCAAGATCTAACTCCAGGTACCTACAGTAGCATAAAACTAATTTGCTTTCTCTTATTCTCTACCTAACTTAATATTTTTCAATTTTCAACTCATTAATGAGACTTTCTTTCTGTGTTTTAATTACTTTTGAGGTTTTCCAGATTTAAACCTTGTATGCAGTACTGTTTTTAATCAAAAGGAAACTTTGAATCTATAATATCGCACTTCTGGTACAGATGATCTTTGAAGCAAATTTATTACTTTATTTCTGGAAGTGTTAATGTTATAACTTACCACTTTTGGGTTCATATGTTTTACAATGGGGAAAACATTGATAATATCGTCTTCATTAAAGATTTGTTTAGTTGCTTCTGATAAATCATATTCTCTCAATAAAATCTGAATACCAACAGTAGAACAGAAAGCTCTTAATAACGATACTCTCTGTATATCATACTTCTCTATACAACTATCAATAGAATCACTGAAATATAGACAATAGAATCACTGAAATATAGACAATAGAACCAGTGAAATATAGACAATAGAACCAGTGAAATAAAGACAATAGAACCAGTAAAATATAGACAATAGAACCAGTGAAATATAGACAATAGAACCAGTGAAATATAGACAAGTGAAATATAGACAATAGAACCAGTGAAATATAGACAATAGAACCAGTGAAATATAGACAATAGAACCAGTGAAATATAGACAAGTGAAATATAGACAATAGAACCAGTGAAATATAGACAAGTGAAATATAGACAATAGAACCAGTGAAATATAGACAATAGAACCAGTGAAATATAGACAAATGAAATATAGACAAAAGAACCAGTGAAATATAGACAATAGAACCAGTGAAATATAGACAATAGAACCAATGAAATATAGACAATAGAACCTGTGAAATATAGACAATAGAACCAGTGAAATATAGACAAGTGAAATATAGACAATAGAACCAGTGAAATATAGACAATAGAACCAGTGAAATATAGACAAGTGAAATATAGACATTAGAACCAGTGAAATATAGACAATAGAACCAGTGAAATATAGACAATAGAACCAGTGAAATATAGACAATACCAGTGAAATATAGACAATAGAATCACTGAAATATAGACAATAGAACCACTGAAATATTGACAATAAAATCACTGAATATTACTAAAACATAGACAATAAAATCACTGAAATATAGACAATAATATCACTGAATATCATTGAAATTTAGACAATAGAACACTGAAATGTAGACAATAAAATCACTGAAATACAGACAATAGAATCACAGAAGTATAGAAAATATTATCACTGAATATCTCTGAAATTTAGACAAGAGAATCATGGAAATTTAGACAGTAAAATCTGAATATCACTGAAATCTGGTCAATGGAATCACTGAAATTTAGACAATAAAATCTAAGAAAATCACTGAAATCTAGACAATAGCATCACTGAAATATAGACAATAGAATAACTTAATATAACTGAAATATAGTCAATAGAATAACTGAATATCACTGAAATATAGTCAATAGAATGACTGAATATCACTGAAATATAGTCAATAGAATAACTGAATATCACTGAAATATAGACAATAGAATAACTGAATATCACTGAAATATAGTCAATAGAATAACTGAATATCACTGAAATATAGTCAATAGAATAACCGAATATCACTGAAATATAGACAATAGAATAACTGAATATCACTGAAATATAGTCAATAGAATAACCGAATATCACTGAAATATAGACAATAGAATCACTGAAATATAGACAATAGAATAACTGAATATCACTGAAATATAGTCAATAGAATAACTGAATATCACTGAAATATAGTCAATAGAATAACTGAATATCACTGAAATATAGTCAATAGAATAACTGAATATCACTGAAATATAGACAATAGAATAACTGAATATCACTGAAATATAGTCAATAGAATCACTGAAATATAGACAAAAGAACCACTGAATATCACTGAGATATGGACAATAAACAATATCAACACCGGAATATGGTTTTGGAGTAAAAAAACAAGTTTCATAAAACAAAAGGAAATTTTGCAGGTCAGTTCTCATATTGGCTATCAACCTTTCACCACTTCATTCTGTTTATAGTTTATACATACCATTCTAAAGTATAATGATAATAATCTTGAGCTTCATCAATAATTTTCTTCCATAATGACTTAGGTGTTTCATTCATCCATTCAGTATTATCAGCTGCAATATGCAAATAATATTCAATACATATATAGTGGAGAAATTTCATTCAAAAATATTATATTTTTCCATACAATATACATGGTTATATTCTC